TTGAAAACATGAAAGTTGTAGGAAATTGTCTCAGCTTTCTTGTGTAAAAACTTCAGCTCATTTGGACTTCTAGAACTCCAGATGTAGCCAAAATACTGAATAGTGCTCGGGCTGGAGGACAGCTTCGGGCTTCTTTGTTGTTGCAATAATTTGGACTTGAAAATGACCTCTTTAGATCTTGGGCTCCATATGAAAGTTGTAGGCATATGTCTTACCTTTCCATCCATATAAAGTAGACCTAAATCGGAGATCTATAGCTTCAGATATAACCCAATTACCGAACAGTGTTCCGGTTTGGATTGCACCGACATCTCTTTTCTAATTTTGGTCATCTCTTTGCCCTTGCAATTTAAATTCTTAAAGTCATCAATCAATCCTTTCATTTATATGATAGGCCTGCATTTAAAATGAACATTTACCACAAATTAAAGGTATTTTATATTATTAGATATATTATTATAAAACATGCTTTAGTTAAGGAGTTATTGATACTTCAAGTGCAAAATGATGATATAAAACCATGATAAAAATGCACTTTTAAGTACTAATCACAAATCATATCCTCCTCGTATGTAATCACATGATAAATCTTTGTAAATATATCATTCCTTTATGCATCTCATTATGATAAATAAACTTTATGTTCGCTTAATAAGTCATAATCATCATTTTTACCTCAACAAGTTATAACATGCAATGTATCACTCGTGTCAGTGTCAACTGGAGTGTGTTATTTATAACTAATTTGTCATGTTAACTAGTCTAGACAATATAGCTCAACCATCTTAAGAAATATTAATGGGACCACTAATGTTCATATATCTATAATGATAGTGCAAACAACTAAAGCAATTGCTAATCTTTCATCTGAACAAAGTGTCTATGTAACTTGTAGAATATAATTTTTTTAAATATGAAACAATAATTATTCGGTGAACTGTAATGATTTTTATTAAACCAATGGTTGAAAAAAAAAAAATACTTGGATAGCATGATATTTGTTTAGCTCGCTCTGATAAAATACCAATACATATTAAATTATTTTCAAATACTTAACTAGCACACCACTTAACATAAAAAATATGTTAGTTTAATTGTATTTTTTAAATTTAAAATTACACAATATAAATTCATATAATTGTAAATAACATCGCAATACCTACATCCAAGTGGTAAATAAAGTGTAACCTTTATAGTCTGGATAGTCATAAATGGCAATTAAGGTATATAAGGTGTGTTCACATGAAAATATTTCCACAACCATAATTGTTATTAAAAAAAAAACCTTTTGTGTTAATAATAAACATTTAAATCTAGATAATATTTCTCACTTCATACTAATAAAAGTAAAAAATGTCTCTCAACCTGTTTGATCCCTTCATGCATGCAAAAAATAGATGTTCATACAAGAATACCAATATAACAAATCTCTAGTTATATATAGAGATGACATCAAAATCATCCAGAAGCATCACATAAATTAAAGGCATATATCTTTCAATTAAGTCTGTGAATAATATATGCATAACATGTATAACTTATTAAAATTACAATAATAACTCATTTGAATTTAACAAATAATTAACACATTAGATTTTTAATTTATGTTGTACCTCCGCTTCTCCTTAGTAAAAAATTACGGTGATGTGAATGTTTCATCAATCCATTAAAGACATATGCTACCCCCTTCAATTTAAAAGGAGGGGGTGTCCATTCAAATGATCACTCACATAATGCAATCCTATTGCAAACATCAAAAAATGTGACTACTCATTTATTAATGGACAATTCAAGTAAAATCATAATGTTCTATAGTATCGGTGTCATATCTCTATACCTAATATGAAACATTTGTGTCTCGTTATCTTTATAGCTTAATTAGTACATAGATTAAGTCGTAGTCACGCTTGATATAATCTAGACAAGTTACATATAAAAAAACTACTTAGAACACATATGGCTAAACCCGTTTATCTGGTCTCATCCGCCTATGTGTACAATAATAAATAGTAGTGGTCTTATCCTGCGTAATAATTTAAATTATAAGTATATACATATATAATTAAATTAAACATAAATTAAAAATATGTTAAAATTAGAAATTCTTAATGTCGGCGAATACATCCTCCAATTGATGTTAATCCTACAACCACAAACAAGAATATCAACGGGTTTGGTAAACATGTACTGTGACAAATGCTCTCCCATGATCCCCCTACACATATTCCTTCTCTTTCTATTGATACTCATGTTGTCCCTAATCATCACCCAAATATGGACACTCAACATAAATACGATTTGTCATCTTGAATGCACGACATCCTAATAAATAATACTTGTGATAAATGTAAAACTAGGTAAGTTTGATATACATAAAAAATATATTAATATGCCATAACATGATAAATAAATAATATATATTTTGCATATAATTGTATTGTCATACGTACAATGTATATTAGGACATGTTTTCCTATTATAGCCCATGTCATTGCATATGCCACACCTATATTGTGTTATGACCTTTTCTTGCATCCATCTCGTTATATAAACAAGTTGACATCATTGACTAAACCTAAATTTCTATCTAGATGAGTTTATTTCAACTTGAGGTCTAGTGTTATCATTCTATTCTTACTTGTCTGGTAATAGATGGAATGACATCCCATATACTAATATGTAGCTCTAAATCATATAATAATCATTAACAAACTATGTGAAATATGATCCTTAGAGTTATCCTCAATGTTAATTACTAGTGGCTAAATTTTACTACGTTGAATTTTAGTTTAGCTTCACATCTTCAATTGACCCAATAACTATTACTCCTATAAAATATTAATTGCACTAAAGCTAAAATAGGCATTACACAAGCACCTTTTAGAACATGATTAAATGATTCTAAAAAATTAGTTTTTATATTACCATACCAATGACCACCATTATAACATAAAATCTATTTTTCTTTTGGCTCTCATTCAAGTCATTTTTTATATACTAAGTCCAACTTACATATTTTTTCATACCACAAATTAAATTTACACTTTAAAAGTTCGCAAAATATCCTCATCAAATATTTTTTTTCATAGCTAGGTCTTTGAATTTATAATTGAAGTTGCTAATAAAATGTCAGACACAATACCAATAGTCTCGTATAGGTTCAGACCAAACTTCTGTTATTCTATTATTGATGCTTGCATGTATATATGATATTATATATATACATGTTCTAGCACAAGTAACATATATTTATAAGCAAAACAAAATCCATCTCTAATTAGAATTATTTTCTTCATCAATAATTGCAAAAACTAAAAGGAATAACCTATTATTTTTATAAAAAACAATTGCAATCAGTAACTTTTATTTACAACCCAAGCTTTGTCATATGAAATTTTATGTTTATGCTTGTAATGCAATTTTATTTTATAATTTTATTTTGTTTTGAAATCTTCATTAAAAAATTATTTATCATAAGGATTGATAAAACATCCAATGTATCATTATTGTCATTGTCACTAGATCTAGAATAATTAAATTTATATTAATTTATAAATTAATTTCCAAACATAATATCATTTATCATTTGAATCAAATCATTTAATAATAAAATATTTTTATCTCTACTAATTAAATTTGAAAGACTAGCAAAAATTAAAACACTTATAAATTACTATTCATATACACTACCATCATATTCAAACTACTTTAAATAAAAAAATCAATCATTATTTAAAAATTAACATCAAATTCAAAATAATACTTGTGTACACCAGCTTTTCCGATCATTGTTAAAAAACTTTTTCCTGAATATTATGAGCATTAACTTCTTTTGCCACTGGTGGAGTATTCAAGATTCCTTTGGAGTTGTCTCCAACTTCCCTTTCCAATCTTTGAGTAGCTATATAAAACTGGAATTGATTTGCCAGAGCTTTAATCTGTAAGTTGATCTGATCATTCCTTTTGTTTTGCTCCACCCATTGTTCTTGCCATTTGTTTCGTTGATTAACCATTGATTCTTAGATTTCTCGTGAATATTTTGCAGCTGTTCACCAAGCCTCCTACATTAGTCTCGTGTAACCTTCATTTTGTTATTTTCTACTATTTTTGCACCAGATAGAATCAATTCGAGCTTGGATTTGGCTCTGGTACTAATTGTTAGGCTTATTTCCTAACAAGAAAATAGAAGGAGTGAACACAAAAAAGAAAGACGATAGAAGAAGAGAAGAAGAGAAGCATGAATTCTGTTCTGTTATTGCTTGCCTCAAATGAAAATGCCCTCACATCTTTTATACACTTCAACCTTATTCAACTAACTTGCTAACTGATTTTCCCTCCTACTAGCTACATACAACTAACTTAACTAACTGCTACTAACAGCTAAGCCACATGCTTCATATTTCATCATTGTAACTTCTGCAGCTAATAATTCTTCTTCGTTCTTATTCCGCGTATGCTCTTTGTTTATTAACATGTGCAGAATGTAACATAAACACTGTCTCTTCTCTCCCTTTCAGTTTGGCTTGCGTTCAACCAGGTGAGCTGTTTCTCCCATTCTCATTTCATATTCTTGGTTTGGTTGTGTCATTTTATCGGTTGGGTTTTTTACGTTTTGAGTTGGGTTTGGTATTGTTTGCCGTGGAATGTGTGTTGATTTCCCATTATTTTAGCTGGATTTATTGGGTTGTCTGTTAGCTGTGCTTCTCAAGAGTTTCAGTCTCTCTCAGTTGCCTGCTCTCTTAGCGTTTTTTTTTTTTTTGCTCTTACCATTATCGTTACTTGTCCTTTCCTTCTGTGGACTCTGATTTCTTTGCTTTTATTCCTTTGCTCTCTTTCTTAATAGCTTTTGATCATTGACCCAATTCTTTCCTGGTGATGTTCATAATTGGGTTTTGTTTTTTTTTTTTTTTCCTCGCAGGTTTCTTTGGCCTTGGGAGTTTTGGAACCGCTTGGTGTGGATTAGGGCTCCTGGTGCTGGTGTGTTTGTTGGTGAGGTATTTTTTCAATCCAGGTTAATGGTGCTTTATTCTGGATTCTTGGGTTTTTGATTTCTGTTTCTTTTTATTTTTTATTCTGCACTGATTCTTTCTCATGATGGCTTGATGTTTGCTCTGGTCCTTTTTTTTTGCTTCTTTCGTTGTTCTGTGGCATTTTCTCTATCTTTACTTATTTTTATGATAAGTTTGTTTGTTTTCTTTGATCATTGGTTAGGTTTTGTGTATTGCGTGCATTCAATGATTGTTTTTGCCTTGGTTATAGTTGTTTGAAATGATCCATTGATTTTGTTTGTTCTTCCTGTTCTGAGCTTTGGTGTTTTTTGGAGGTCTGCTGGCCTGTGCTGAGTGTTTGGTTGTGGTGTGTATTTCATTTGAATTTACTTCTTTGTGATTGTTATTTCTGATTTTGATTTTGTTTTGATGTTTAGACTAAACTTTGTGCGGCTTATGTTATATGATCTTTTTTGCTTGTTTAGGATCTTCGGTTTTTTTCTATCGCTAGGCTTGCTGGGGGTCCTTTGAACTGTTGGGTTATTCGTTTACGGCGTTCTTTTAAGATTTTTTAGTGACTTCTTTCTCTTTGCTGGTGATTTTCAGTCCTTCGTAAGTTTTCATGTTCTGCTTTGGAATTACCTGTTACGAACTAGGAACATGATGAAGGCTGGAAAGAGAGCAACAAGAAACAACAACAGCATTGAAAGAATATAGTTAGTAGTTAATTAGTTAGAAAAGCAGTTGAGTGAGTCAAGGAAGTAGTTATAGTCAAACAGGCTTGAATATAATTATAGTTAGTGTAAGAATAAAAGCTTGTATATAACTGGTGTATGGAAACGTGTTGGAGAGAAGAAAATACAGAACATTATTCTCAATCTCTGCTCTTCCCTCTATTCTCCTTTCTCTTCTCAATTCTCTGCTCCTTCTCCTCTGCTCTCTCTTCTTTCTGTTCTTTCTCAATTTCTATTCTCTTTTCTTTCTATTCTTTCTCAATCTTGTTAAGCTCAGCTTAACATTACCCTTGGGGGACTTACAACGACTTCAAACTGTTTATCGTTTCCAGTTTCGGTTGTTTTATGCCGATCCAGGTTATGGTGGTTCTGGTGGTTTAACTTATTAGGTTTTTCTTTCTTCTTCGTCTGTTGAACGGGAATCCCCGGTTCTGTTTCTCTTTGCTGTTTTTCTCTTTGTTTACTGTGTTGTTCTCGATTGGCTTTTCACAAATGATTCTTGGGGGTTGCAGGTTCCTTCTTGCCTTGTTGGTTTCTGCCCTGTTGTGTTTTGATAACTGTTATGCTGTGTTTCCTGCCGTTTATTCTTATGTTGCAGCAGCCACTCTTTTTGAGGGCTTCCTGGCTCTTTTTGCAATTACCTTGATCGTTTTCTTTACACTCTTGCTCAATTGTTTCTCCCATTAATTTCTCTCTTTTTTTTTTTTAATGGAGTCCTACGTTCCAGCTATAGTTGTTTGGTTGTGCTGCTGGTTTTCTTTGCTCCTTTTTTTTTTCCTGGGTCTTTTGCTCTTCGTGCTTAGCCTGCTTCCATTTGGTGCTGTTTCTCTTTTGGTTTTAAAACAATGCTCCCTTTCATCGGGTGCAAGCTAGACTGCTGTCCGAAACTGGGCATAGAGGAACATGGATTCCAATCTCTACTAGGTTTGCTGGGACTTGGGGTATATGGACTGTTGATTATATGTTTAAACATGCATTTCTTCAGGCTGAACTGTTGCGTTTTTCTGTTGTCGAAGGCTTCACACCGCTGTACTTTGATGAGGAAACAACTTCCTCGGAGAAACATCCCGTGGATTCCCATGAGGACAATCGTACAAACTGCCATCCACTAACAAGGAGGCGTCTGCTATTCGACAACGAAATTCCACTGCACAGGTTTAAAAAAATAGTTCACAAACAATTGCTTGGTGCAGCAAATATATATAAACTTATATTATGTGGTTGCGTTTTATTTTTCTCTGGGAGACTACATCATGTGATCTAACAGCCCTTAGTTCTCCATCATGCAGCAATCCTCCGGCTGTTTTGCCTCCACTTTCTTCTTTCAACTTGGAACATTTCTCTTTGATTTTTCTCACAACCATTTCTTTTTGAGCTTCTTGGAACAGAGGAGCACCATTACGTGCACAACAAATAACCTACCTTATTTTCTTCCTTCGAAACAGCGGCCCAGCACTGCAGGACAACGTCCCAGTTCAGCTCAAAGAAACAGATGCGCAGGTTCGCTTTCCAGCTTCCATGAATCGGAGCAGCTAACCAAGAAACAACAAACCTCATTGTCAACCCCCGCAGAGGTACCTCCTCGCATTTAACTCCATTTGTCGCTTTTTTCACTTTCTCATTCATCGTTCCCCTGTTTCTACCACACAAACTGCTTAAGAGCCTCGACATGTTTTTTCTTATTGATGTCTAACTTCGAACAATGGCTCCCAAACTCTCCTAACTTCGCTTTCATCGATTACCGCTGGGTTTATGACTTTGCAGCAGGTTTATAAAAACCCACTGATTAATTTGGGTAACCAACAAAACAATGGGTGTTGATAGAAGATCGACTAGAAGCTCATCTTCAATATTCGTCACTGATGATGACGGTGGTAAATTATTCGGACGGGAGTAACCCTACCGTGATTCATAAACACCAAACTTGCATGTGAAGATTTTGGCTTTTCATTCCCAAAAGACCCAAAAAAAAAAAAAAACAGAGGGTTTTGATTCTGGAATGTACACATTTCTATACTCAGAGCATGTAATTTAGACACATGTTTACATTAGAGAGAAACGAGAAACAGTCAAAAGTCAGCAAGATTGTGAATTGAGAATTTCCATGCATGATTATTTCACTGGTAAAACAGAAAAGGTGCTTACAACATAATCAAAATCCCTGCAAAATAGGCCTCTTTCCCAGCCTCTTGATTTCTCTATCCATCTGACCAGTAAGCATCAATCCGAACATCTTGCAATCACATAGAAAAGACCAAACTGGATGCCCAAAAGTTGCAGGAACATTCCCTTCCACAAAGAAATGGCTGTACCAAGCCAATCCATACCCAACCAACGGCACAAAGAACAAAAACCACAAATTGAAAACAAAAGAGGACAGCAATAACAGTATACTTGAAAGCGTGCCCACAAAATGCCAACGTCTTGTTGATGGTTTTGAATGTTGAGTCACATAGAAAGACCAAAACTCTTCTAAGCTCCTGCAATTCATTATCTTCGACAAGCAACAAAACAAGGAGAACCAAGTTCACAAATCTTGATTGCTTTGACTTGCAGCTCAACTTCTTGATTGGTAGATGATCTTTGAAATCCAATTACGAAATACAGCAAGAATTCTATCTGGGCTTGGTGTGGCTAGCAAGAGACTAATGAGGGATGTCAGCCTTGTGGGGTGCTGGGTATAGGCTTCAAAGTCAAGACAATAATTGGAAGCAGAAAGCAAGGGATTTTTTTTTTGGCTGGAGTTGACTGTAAATTCGAGCGAGGAAGTTTTGAAGATGGATTTTGATGGAGTCTTTAACTCTTTTTATTTTTTATTTTTTAAATGTAATTGAAGCTCGAACAACCAATAAACATAAGCTGAGTGGCTCCAGTGCATATTTGAATTGTAAAGTATATTTTACACATAAAATATATTGCACATAATAGATAAACAAGACAACGCATAGAGAATTATTCTTGGAGCAAAACAATAGTTTATGTTACGGTCCAAACTGAACTTCTGTCTTTTTTTATAAACTTTGAATAACTATAATTTCTTCATACTTCAACCCAAAAAATTCATGTAATATACGCCTGACAACTCTACTTTCTAGTGGTACTTTTTTTTACAGTTTAATTTATACTATATTATTAGATAATAATCATATGAGCACTAATTTGGTTGAAGTAAAAAATCAAGAATTTCAATGGTAGAACCTGATTAATCTTGAAAATATGTTATACACAAATTAAACATGTTATTTACATTAGAAAAAAATAACAAGATACTCTAATATTATTGTTGGAAAAATAAAAACAAAATAGCAATAGATAAAAACATATATTAACATGCATCATTGGTCTAAGCATAATCACTTTAAATAATATTCAAAGCATAAAACAAACGGAGGAGAAAAAAAGAAAACAAAGGGAACAAGGAGAAGACTGAGAATAAGAAAGCAGAGAAAGCAAGGAGGAAGAGAGAGCAGATTACCTTCAGCCTATCTTACCTTGCCGGATAGGACGTCACAAAACTCTGAAAGGGGTGGAAAGAGCTCCTAACGGCAAAAGAAGGAGGTCTTTCTTCGGTTACTAGAGGCAAAAGGGCAAAAGTTTTCTTTTCATTGGTTTACACTTCATCTGTTACATTCAAAGCAAGAAATATCTGCAGGTAAGTCTCGGCTTTCTTTTTTCTTTTTATTTATTGTCATATATAAAACCGAGGTCTGATGTTTCTTCTTTCCAAAACCTGTTTCTGCTTTTATTTTAGACATTAGAGTTCTGTTTGGGTAACAAAGTTGCAAGCTTGCTACTGTTTTGTCCATGGCTGTGATTTTTAAATGGGTGTGTATGTTAGAGACGCGGGCTTTTCTTTTTCCATTTTCGGGAGGAATCATGAGCTTTGAAGTTTCTCATTATCCCCCCACTCGTCTGTTCGGTGTGTATGTTAGTGCCTTATTTTGCCTTATTTTAGATAATGATGGGTCAGGCTTCAGGCTTCGAGTTTAAATCGGTGTCGAAACCTGTTTATTTGAAATGAAGTGTTCTAGGTTTTTTCGTAAATTCTAAAATAAACGGGTATGTTTTGTTTTGTTAACTGTGATGTTTATGTTTAATTACGCTATTCTAACAAAAAAATAAAAATATTTTTATGTGTGTTCTATACAGTAAATACTCTAAAATATTTTAAATATTTTTTTTTTAAAATATTCAAGATTTTTAAAATATGTTTTAGTATTACTTTTTTAAACACAAATTATTTTCTAATATTTTAAATTTTATAATATGTTTATAAATTTCAAAGAATATTGACTAATATTTTAAAAAATAATTAAATAATAATATAGCTTATTTAGACACTGTTTCATCTACTAGTTATAATGTTAGTTTACAAATTACTTTTGTACCCTAATTTTTATACAATTTAAGTAGAAGAGCAACTCCATTTTCTACTTTTTAGTGGTATTATTTTCATAATTTAATTTATACTATATTATTAGATAACAATCATTGAACACTAATTTTGTTGAAGTAAAAAAATCAAGAATTTCAATGATAGAACGTTGAAAACATGTTATAAACAAATTAATCATGTTATTTACAATAGAAAATAAATAACAAGATGCTCTAATATTACTGTTGGAAAAATAAAAACAAAATAACAATAAAAAAAAACATATATTAACATGTATTATTGATATAGCATAATCACTTTAAATATAATATTTATTTATTTTTTTATCATCCGAGCCTTAATAGTAGCAATATACCAACTATTTTTTTTAATATATTTTTATTTTTATTAATAATAGCAAAAATAATGACTCTTTTCTCAATCATTCTAATAATAAGCAAGCGTAGTAATGACTATAATAGCAACAATACTTGTAACAATTCTAGCATTAATTAAAATTTAAGTGTATTGTTCATGTAGTGGATGTTGGGTCGGGTTATATTTGGTTCAAACCCAACTTTCTAGGTCAAGTTGTATTCACAATGTAAGATACAAACTTAATATTAAAATGTCTAATTTTCTTAAAAATATTTTTTTTAAAATTCAAAACATTTGAAGAAAAAAAAAACTTTAAATATTTTACCATCAAATTGGGAAAACAAGGTGAAAGTTAACAATTACTGAAACTGGTCACAGGAAGAATAAAGGAAGAACTAAGGAAGAACTAATGATTCTTAAGGCCGGCAACAAATAAAGAAGTGAATTTTTCCATCTCATGCTTCTCCAAAACCAAACCAATCTCGACTCCACCTTTTCCATCTGTGCTCTCTGCTAGAGAAATTGCTCCTGTCCTATCTATGGAAGTTATCTCCACCTTCTCTGGGTTCCCCCACCCAAAATCAGTTCCATAAACCTCAAATCGGTTTGACCCAGCAACCCCAAATAGTGCTGCACCACCTGCCGCTTCTTCCATGTTCCTTGCCATCTTCTCCTTTGCTCCATCAAGGACTCCTTTCTCTAAGCTTTTGATAAGCTCACTTAGCATTTCTGCTAAATACATAAATCCTTTCTCCTCTAATAGAGATTCTGCTTCTGTAAACGCAACACATGAACTGACACAGTTACCAAAATAGTTCTCATGTACTGGAGGGTCCAAACGGGCTCTACAATCTACCGCAAATCCAATAACTACCTTTCTGTTACTTTCAAACCCTCTTGCCTTAACTATACATACAAATCCGTAAGCTAATACAAGCACAAAGGTAGATAAATGGATTGGGCGTGTTTCTTTTGAACCTTCCTTTACTAAATTAGCAAGCACCCTCTCCCTGAGTTTCTTTATGTCTTCACGAGATAACTCGAACGTTGCTCGTACTGAGCTAGATCGAACGGCTATAGCTGGCAAAAGCTGCAAGCTTCTTGGTTTAAGATCCACACCAGGCCATTTTAATTCTAACCAGTTGTTCAAATACACCATGTCCAACCCTTCAGGGTCTTGTATACCTATTCGGTCAAAAACAGGTGTGAGTTCTGTCAACAAAGCTGGATATTGTCGTTTGTCTTCATCACCGAGTTTGCAGAAGTGAGCCCATGCTTTGATAAACATGGTCGAGCTTTTGCCATCAAGGACTGAATGGTGGGCAGAGATGCCAATGCAAAAGCCGTGATTAGGAAATAAGGTTATTTTCAAAGCTATAACGGATGCCTTTGAGTCAGTGACCGGCAACTCGGGTATATAAGGACGAGAATCTGCAGCTTCATGGACTTCATTTCCCGAGAGGAGATGAAAGTCAGCACTGGACTCAGCAACTGTGAGCTGAACACCATCGTCTGGAGTGTAGAGGATGATGGGTTTGATGGCTTGTGGAGGCCAGATAAGGTTGCCGGCAAGAGGAAGGAAGTGAAGGAGTGTATGAGAAAGAGAGTGTTTGAGTTTGGGAAGGATCACTGAATTGAAGAAAGTTGGAGTTGACTCAGTGAGTTTATAGAAAAAGATGCGTTCAACTGGAGGAAATTTCAACCACATAATGTCGTAGAAGGTTAGCGGAAGAGATAACTCGGTAGCTGACTCCGATGAGTCGAAGTAAGGAGTAACTTGGCAGACATCGATGGTGTTGACTTGGTTTTCGACTTCCATGTTGGAGACGACGAGGAGCAGAAGAGAGATTTTGTTTTGGTTAAATCGCAACGGAAGGAAGAGATTTTACGTATCAATTATATAAAAAAACAAAAAGTTTTGTTATAAAAACTAATTTTAAAAAATAAATAAAATATTATTTTATTATATTTTTAAAAAATATTTTTTAAAAAACTAACACGTTGCAAACAGTCCCTTAAAATGTCATCGGAGGTGGCCACGACCGTAACATTAACGGTGCTTGCAGTTTGTTTATTGTTTTCTTGTTTAATGGTTTCTTCTGCCCTTTCGCACATGTTTAGGTTGCAATACGAGCTTTACACCAATATTTAATAAATTAGTTTCCAGATTTCTTATTAAAAGAAATAAATTAAGTGGAGTATCAAGATAA